ATTTTGCACGTCACTATTTCTCCAGATAACGAAAACAGCCACTCACTTGAGACACTATTGTTAATAATATATTAATCTTTTCATCATATTTTAATCCTCGGAATGTCTTTTCTAAATTGGGAGGAATGATGATAACTGACCAACGTGATGTTCATTGAAAGTGTGTCATCTTATGTTTACCCTGAATTACCTCTTGAGACACTAATTATGATGCATTGTCTACAAGAATAGGTCAAAATCATACACCATAATTTCATGGCACTTAATATTACATTTCAAGAAAAAAAATGAAGTACTGTGTTGTTTTCTACAAGTTTCAGTATTAACAGTGGTTAGCATGTAATTAAGTACTCGATGATTCAATAGGCAGTCGTGTTTTATTTTGACATGGAAAGAATGGAATCATGGGCTCTAAATGTGTACGCAATCAGTTTTTGGTTGTATTAATTTCGAGAAAAGAAAGTTAAAGTTAATGCTTTTGATGTTGACCCTGGAAAACGGCACGCTGAACGTCCCGTCGTACATTGTAGTGCCTTCACCAAAACGATTGACTACAGTCATGTGCAGTACACTTAGGTCAAGTCAAAACATAGTGACTAGGAAGAAGGTTCAATTAATCTAATGAGCATTGTATGTTGTGTTCTTTTTGCCACAAGTGGGCTCAATTAGCATAAACAAGTTGTGTAAAGAGGCATAGTCACCACTGCTCAAAGGGATAATGCTCGTTTCCTTATGAAATGAATGTTTCAATGGATAAAAGATTATATAACTGGCAGGGGTTTCTTTGTACAAACATATGAGGGTACAACTGCCCAACATTACACCTACTGCGGAGTACCTCAGGGAGGTGTTTTAAGCCCCACATTGTTCAATGTAAGCCTCATTGGTCTGGTGAAGGTTCTGCCAAAGTCGGTGTGCCTATCCATATGCGCCGATGATATTTGCCTCTGGAGTGCTGCAGTTACTCGCCCTCAGGTGCGTGCACGAATACAGCGGGCAGCAACCCTCACAACAGCCTACCTTCAGAAACAAGGCCTAAATATATCAACTGTGAAGTAGGCGTTGATGGCGTTTACACGCAAACCAATGACGCCATACCCTGTTTACATCAATGGGCAGAGTGTCAAATATGCACGGATGCATCGTTTCCTGGGCATAATAATCGACAGAAGTCTTTCGTGGAGCCCACATTGTGCGTACTTGAAGAAGAGACTGCTATCTATTGTGCATATCATAAAATTCTTGTGCGGTAAAGCATGGGGAAGAAGTCTTTCGTGGAGCCCACATTGTGCGTACTTGAAGAAGAGACTGCTATCTATTGTGCATATCATGAAATTCTTGTGCGGTAAAGCATGGGGAAATTCTGTGGCCTCCATGCTACAGCTGTACAGGGCCCTATTTCTGGGTCTATTGCGCTACAGCTTGCCGGTACTGACTAACACTTGCAAATCGAATACTCATTCATTGGAGAGTTTGCAGGGTCAGGCACTGCGTATCTGCCTAGGACTGCCCCGATGCGCTTCTACTTATGCCACAATCATGCTTGCCAAAGACCATCCGGTCAGGACATATATAGTTGTGGATTGCCTCAGAGCGCACATTCGACATGCTAGCCGTGTCCCTGACCACCACTTGGCCCTTCTACCTTCCGGTAGACCACATGCTACGTTTTCAGACGTCATAGCCAAGCACCTAAACAGCATTCCATCAGGATATACGCCAGCTGCGAGAACGGCATGCCCTTTGTGTGCCTCGACCAGCCGCAAGTACGTCTAGAAATTCCGGGAATCAAAAAGAAAAGCAGTCACTCCAGACTAGCATTGAAGCAAGCAACACTGCTATTATTACATGAGTTGTACTTAGACCGAATGCAGATATACACTGATGGGTCCGTCTCATCCAGCAGCTCATTAGGTGCCGCTGTAATTCCGGCTGCAGAAATGACAATCAAGTTTAAGTTGTCGCATATGACTACATCTACGGCATCAGAGCTTGCTGCTATAAGGGCTGCTTTACAATATCTCGTTCAAAAACGTCCAGGAAAATGGGTCATATTCTGTGATTCGAAGGCAGCGCTTCAGAGTTTGCAGTCTGCCATGCGTAGGAGGAGCCATGGCCAACTGGTACAAGAAATAAGACATTGCCATCATGAAGCTCTAGCACGAGGGCATGATATTATATATCAATGGCTGCCTGGACATATCGGTATTACCGGAAATCAATTAGCCGATGATGCAGCCCGCTCAGCCCATGAAGAAACCCGTGTAGTCCCGATTCCTCTATCAAGGAATGATGCAGCAAGACAACTTTACCTGCTGGCTCGAGATCTCACACGCACGTTCTGGTCATCTACCAGCTTCCAAAGGTGTCAATTTTATGAACTGGATCCTTCGCTCAAGCTAAAGCTACCATCACAACTTTCCCGCTCCGATGCGACACTGTTATGCCGCCTTTGGTTGGGTGTTGCATCTACAAAGGTGTACTCCTTTCGCATTGGTAATGGCAGACACTCCTACATGCGACTTCTGCGGAGCTGAAGAGACTATCGAACACGTCCTGTGCAGCTGCGCTTGCTACGACACACAGCGATGCCAGCTCCGGATGGTTTTGAATCGACTTGACCCTGGACCATTTTGTGTGCAGAAGATACTAGGACCTTGGGCATCTGCCTCAGTTGCGCAGAAAGCAACTAAAGCACTGCTACTTTACCTTAAGTCAACAAACCTGAGCGACCGCCTGTAGACTGTGTGTGCTCCCCGAGTGTGCTCGTGATTGTGTGTACCTTCTCATCTTTCTGCAACCTCTTTTCTCCCCTTCATCCCTTCCCCAGTGCAGGGTAGCTAACCCGATGTGCGTCTGGTTAACCTCCCTGCCTTTCCTTGCATCTTTATCTCTCTCTCTCTCTCCTTATTTTTTAGACATTTCTTCTTTCTTAATGGCTACGGTCCCTTACTTGTTTCTGTAGTTTTGCTCGGTATAACTTTATCACTCTATTGCATCAGCATGCTCGGCCTCATACCCAGTGCCGTGCTCAGGCCGCTACTCTAAAATACTGGCATAACATTTGCAAAAGTGTAAGGTAGAGAGGGGCAAAGTGAGAAATTAAACTAACGGGTCTATTTGTGGGTCAAGTATCACGAAATTTGGCTGATGTATATGTACCCCAGTGTTGTACAACTCTGGGAGACATCAAAACTTAGGTTAACGAGCCAGAGGGATGAGATGGGCACGAAAGCTTTGCTTACAGGGATTACCGAAGTGCATTGGGCCTGCATTGGATTTGCGATGTCAAACTATATTTGCGTTCACTGAATTTCAGATTCAACAAAATCAATAGTTTTTGTTATTTGGTAACATTTTTTCTGAACTGTCCTATTTAGACTTTTTTTGTTCAGCCACTCTCCTGTAATATAAGGTTAAACTGGAAGGCTGAATTTCAGTGCAATGTAGTGTTGATATTAGCCCATTTTAGCTACTTCATTTTGGCACAGAGAACTGTGGTGTGTTTCTATTATAGAATGACAAGGATAGTGATGTGATGATAGAAGAAACAAAGACAATAACATGACCCATGTATGGCTTTCATTATGCATTTCCATTGGAGCGCTATATGTTCTTTCTGCGATCAGATTTCTATGGTCGCTGTTCTTATTTTTTTAATAAGGCACCAGATATATATGTCAAGCTTTTTTTTTTAATTGCACTGTTTGCTATATGGCATGATATTGTTACCTAAACACCTGAGTGCAATCCTTCTTCATAAAGAAGCTGTATAACTGTCCTATGGGTATTAGGGCCATGTCTGTCTGTATTCCTACACGTCTAAGCAAGTTTTTCCTTGTGACACAGCCACAGCCAATGGACTTTGGGTTGTTATTTTTTGGAGTCGGGTGTTACGTTACAAAAAGCATTTTGTTCTTTAGTCAAGAAAGTTATTGCACATGGTATTTAAGTTCTGACTCAAGCCATTGTGGCTGAATTTTGCTGGAGGCAGAATGTCAAAAATTTATGCATTTAGCCGTGACTGTATGTTAAAGAACCCTCTGAGCTCACAATTATTGCAAAGTCCATTGTGGCACTCCTCCTAAGTGACTGTAATTTTTGGAGGGTCTTAAGCATCACAAATTATTGTCCGGCAGGGTAATATGTTTGGTATGTTTTTTTACTTATATCTATTGACAGATATGTTGCTGATTTGCAGAATACACATAAAGTAGACTCTCGGTAAACAGAAATCTGTTAAATGGAACTGCTGCTTAAATGGAACTAGTGCTTCTGACAAGATTTGTTTCATGCTTGTATTCTTCAACCTTATTCATCTCTCAGTAAACGAAACTCCTGTTAAACAGAACATATTTTCATGGTCCCTTGAGTCCGTTTAGTGGGAGTCCACTTATTTTATTTTCATAATTGGTGAATTGTTGTCTGTTGCCTGATCTGAATAGCATCTACAAAATAAAGAAGCCACTGTTAACTTTTCTGCAACAAAATTAAAAGGATAAAAATGTGGCAGAATCATCAGAAATTTTTTTTACGATAAAATTCTCCCACATCAATGGCGTTTCTTTATTTTTTTCACTAATTGCCTAGAAATAGGTAACTTTAAGGTGGCTTCACTGCATGGCAGTACAATGAAAAATGGCAATAAAATGCCGGGCACAAATGTCTGAACATAGACAAGTGTAGTTATCTGGCATCAAGAAACACAAGTATGGCAAGCATAGTCTTGATTGGTTTCGTGCGTGACCAAGTTTTGCTAATGAGTACAGTCGTTGCTACGGGTCATTTTGTTAGAAAATCTCATCACGACTAAACTTGTCAATGGTCACAAAACGGTTGAAGGAGAACAATTTGGAAAGCTATATTGTACTTTGCTGCTTAAGAGCATCAAGCTGTCTCTGGACACAAGGGCAAACTTTTTAAAAGGGGCCATTTAAGGGCATTATAAAGGTCACTGTACAAGCGAGTGCTGATTGAACACCTCTGCTTGCCGATTTCAGGTCTTGAGCATGGAACAGCAGAAAAGGCAGACACGTGTGCGAATGAATGTGGAACGAGCAGTAGCTGATGCTTGTGATGGTGCTGCTGTTGAGACAATTGAAAAGCGGACCAGGTTTTCACTTTCCCAGGATCAAGAGTCAATAGGTGACTGAGTTTTAAAAGTCTTGTTATCTAGGGGCATCTGCCTATCTTTTTACATACGGTGTTGTTAAAAACTGGCAGGACTTATGTTCTGTTTAACTTTAGTACATTTTTAAAATGTAGTATACCTCACTGAAGGCACCAGTAAAAAAATATAGCGCATCGTTTGAAAAATTGTAAGCACTTATTTTTTTCCTACATTAAAGTGAACTATGTATTTGTGACTTTTTATTTTTAATGGAACTTTACAAACATTTATCTGCTGACGTATAAATTCAGTTGTTATGTAGGTATAAAAGAGGCTAGGCAAAAAGGTTGTTAAGAGAAGATCGTTGTTCTTGTTAGCTGAAAAATTTAAAAGGCAGTCGTCTTTTCAGTCCTAGATACAGGGGTGCAACAGTTGCACCAATTGCGCCAATTTGATACAATTCCCGATCGTTGCGCTGAGCTGTGCCAAAACCGTGAAATTAGCCTAAATTGTGCCACACTGCGCGAAAATGCCTTGACAGCCTCAAAATTTTCTCCGGTGCGCTAATTTCGGCGAGAAATGCAAGCCACGTCGGCCACCTGCAGTTTGCACCATTAGTCAATATACTTAAAATATTTGAATCACCTGCCCTACGCTTACGAGATGTGATCGACCAAATAAAGTAATGGCACTGCGTGCCCATCGGTCCACTGACCACAGCGGATGCCTATCGGCGGGACGACGGAGCTTCAAGGCAAAAATGCGTTGCTGTAGCCACCAGCGCTTCGCAAGAAATGTAAATTTCCTAACCTGAAAACACGGCTATGGCTTGTTTGGAACTAAAGCTGTAAGCGTATGCCGCATTTTCCTTGCGCGAACAATCACGACGTACTGCGAATGCCGGCGTTGCCAGCGACCACGTTGATTTCCTTAGCAGTGGCTCACAAAACATTTTATTTGCATTGAAGTTGCGTCGTCCGAGCCACGGCCCTGGCGATAGATATCCGGTACCGTCACCGGGCTAACGAGCACGCGCCATCATTACTTTAGCTGGTCAAACATGCCTTGAAAGGGAGCCAAAGCCGCACCTAACCCTATGGTGAAAGGGAAAAAATGAAAGTTGTTTTGGGGGGGGGGGGGGGGGGGGTTGGGTCCCAGCAAAAAATTTCTCAGCTTTAATTCAAATGCTGCTTAGCCACCTTCGCCGCAATACACTGGTGCCTTGCAAAAAAGTGCGATAAGATTTGGAAGGGGTTTCGTAGCATTAGTCACGGGACACTGCACATTTTTTTCAGTTACTCATGTATTTGTATGCCACATAATTCTGAGTAGCATTATAATCACTGACATCTAAATAAGCTACTGGCAATCATTTGAAGCAGTGTATGACATTTCTGCTTCCCTAAAAAAAAAACAAACTAAAATGTGCGCCAGTTTTTTTTTTTTTTTTTTTCGCCACCCCTACTTCTCAGTTTTACGAATCTCCTAAATTTCAAGGTCGTGAGCTTGGCAAATTTATATTTAAACTCGCAGAGTCTGTCAAATGATGTGACAGGCGCAGTAAATGCTAATATAGACTTCATCAATGTTTGCTCAGTGGGGTGGTTTAAAATACTACTTTCATTGAAATATCAGTGCTCATGTTCACACTGCACAATTTAGGTGATGTCGAATGATTTATACATATTTTTTTTTTCTAAGTGTAACCTGCTCCAAATTTGGAATTTAGTGCTCCAAAAGTAACATTTTGTTGCTCCAAAAATCACTCCAAATTGTATTTGAGCTGTTGCACCCCTGCTAAATACTTAAGTGCTATAGTCTTCTACTGATTAGGTTTGAAAATTTTTCGCATGTAATAAGATAACAGCAATTGTAAATGGTCATTCTTTTGGTGACTAAAACTGAGCAGCAATTTCTCGCAAAAATAGCTGTAGAGCATGTCATATACGTAATGTGCACTGCACAAATGTGCTTAGGTATGAGCTCATGAGACTAAAAGAAATCTTATGCTCTGTACTTGCATTTTGACCTTGAGACATCTTTATACACACATATGAGACCGTATGTTCATTAACCTTAAGTGTAGTTTGTCCATTTCCAGAGCCCAGGGGCTATGATATGCATGCTCCTTCAAGAATGAATATTCATGGGCCATGCACACTGCCTGGACAACCTTTGAAATTCTTTAGCATGCGCTGCAGTGCAAAAACATGAAGCCGTTTTTTAATTGTTTTGATAAATAGCTGCTTTTTGAAATCATATGCCCATTTACATTATTGCTTTTTACTTGTTTCTAAAAATAAGTTTTGATATAACAAACTACTTACAGTAAAACCTCATTTTTAAAAGTCTCTGAGCCTGTGAAAGATTTTAGAATTAAGCGGGCTTGCGAATTTAATGAAACATACAAAACCAGGATGAAAAGAAATTTAAATTACTGAAAGTAATCAGAGATGATCATCTGCTGTGCCTGCTAACTTGTGGCTCCAAGGGTTGCATTATCGAACAATACCTGGTTTTAGTTTTGCGGCAAACCTGGGGAAAATGCAAGCATCGCTGCTGCTAGTGAAAAAATAAATTAATAAAAGTCTTGTGACTTGCTAAAATGTGCATCTGCGAAAAAGACGTGCTCCACTGCAATACAGTAGTGACTTGTAAGCAGCATGTCACCTGCTCCCTGCAGCGTCAACGCGTCATGATGGGACCATTTGCCCACTCTTTCTGGTAAAACCAACAATTTAACATTTCCTACTGAATTCACGATTTGTTCTGGCTTGAAAACATCATCATAGAAGTTTTCGAACTGAGTTTTTGGAGTAGGCATTGCAGGCAAAAACACCACCAGCAGTTCAAATTCGCAGATTTCTGATGCAACTGCCAATCGGAGGTTTTCATATGTTGCAAATTCTGTCAAATTGTCCTTTATTATTTTTTCTTTTCCTGGGAAAAATAGCATTATCATGATGCGCTGACATTGCAAAAAGCATTCATCATGCTGCCTGTGTGTCATTGCTGTATTGCAGGAAAACACATTCTTTTTGCAGGTGCACATTTCAGTTGAATACGAGACTGCTTTTGCTTTTTGTTTCTTTTTTGCTTTAAGCAGAGACACTGGAGTGCTTCAGCTGTTTTATTGGTATCTTTACGAGTGCATTGCCTTATGACTCCTAAGGGTCGTCGTTTCGGCAAATAGCGACAAACTCGAAATCGAGTATTGGCACATTGCACCCAAAGTTTCTGAAATAAATGGGCTGATGCTGACTGCTGCTTGAAATAATCCACTTAAATTTGCATTGTACATTGCACGGGACCACATAAATCTTTTGAATTAAGCGGGATTTTGAAATAATCTAGTTTGAACTAACTTTTTCGTTACCACACATATTATAATCGATCACCATTTATCAAAGCTTTGGATCATTAAATTTGGCATGATGAAATTGTTTCTCATGCACACAGGACTGTCTAGTAGTAAGTTGAGCCACTCAACTTTCAGAATCAATTTGAATTTGCCCGTTTTGGCAACATAGTGATTTGTGACAGACTTTTGCATGAACCAATGTGCTCATGTTGTTGGGAAAGTGCACTTGGCTGGCGAACTTGACAAAAGTGCATGCCTGTCATGGTTATGCTACTGTAACATCAAAGTTCTGTAATCAAAAGAACTTTTGCAAGTCAAATATCAAATTAAGGTGTTAGCCTCGCAATCTGAGAGTGTTTGGCAGTAATAATTGCGAGAAATTTATGCTAGCTATCTATTAGAGAGCTGTTGCTAAGAATTAGGGACATTTTATTCTACAAAAAGTATTTACAAAGGTCTGCCACATGTATAAAGTGTGAAGGTAGCCTTCTCAGCCAGTTTCCAGCAGCTTTGGTTTTGATTATATCGTTATATCACATACATGGCCTCATCTTGTGCTACTAGTTGCTCCTATAGCGTTGTTGTCATGTACTGATGGGTGCGCCCCTGCTCTGAAAAAAACACACACTGCTCGAAGCTGTGAAAACGCACTTTCATTGAGTGAGGACAAGCTCAGAGTCTGAGGATGACAGCACCTCAGCTTCAACTTTTCTGGCGACGATGCTTTGCGTCAGCCTGAGACATCCGCAGCCATTTTTGCATGGTAACTAAAGAATTAATGAGGTTTTTACTGTATATAATAGCTGCCTTTTATAAAATTATCATATTCGTGAAACTGGGTGCAATTTTATGCAGTGTTTAAATAAGTCTGCTGTTCTTTGTTTCATGTCAAAATGTGTTGAAATAGGCTGGTGTTTTCTTCTTCTCAGGTACAAGTGACAATCTTGAAGCAGTCTCGGAAGCGGCATCTAATCACTCTGTTGCATCATCTCTTGAATTAGAAAATGAAAACGACAACTATTCTGATATGGTTTCTGCAAATGTGAGGTATGTAACTTACAATGTTCTATAATTTATGTCACATGCTGTCACAGTTTCTAGTTGCAGCACTTGGCTGTTGAACATAAGGTAGGGACTTTATTCTGAGGGAGAGAAGTGAAATACCACTATGGAAAGAATGCAAGTCAAATTGGCTTTTTGTTTTGTCCATTGATATGCATAATCATGGTCAATATTGAGGGGGACACATTAATAGGTTGTGCTGATGCAGTTGTGTCTTGCCCATGAACACACTCTTTCTGCCGCACTGACCCCATGTACTCTCTTTTGCAACTTGCTGGCAGACTTGCTTGCCTGCACTATTATGATTATGAAGAAATGGCGAAGTTGTACACTGCTTTAGTCAACATGTTGTGTGCATCTATTTGCCAAGAAAAGGGTATTTCATTTCGCTTCCTTTTTTTTTTTTTTGCATCTTTAATGGCAGCGGACATGGAACTCCAAATGTCAGTGGCAGGGACACACCTTCATCTCAAGTAGAAGAAGAAGAGCCAATGGAGCGACCTCCAACAAATCAAAACCAAGCTGACATAGAAGACAAGTTTGGCAAATTTGAAATTAGCCCAGCTGCTCCTGTGCAAGGTATTTCATTCTTACTTAACATTATTCTCATTTGTACACATACTTAAGGGTCTTGTATTTGTATGCATTGTATGTATGCACTGTATGTATTTGTATGCATTCATAATCTTACTCAAGGGTCCTTGTATTTTAATGAATTTAGCATACTTTATGTTACGATGTCGTTGTGTCAATGTTACGTTTTCCAAGATAGACAGTGTCAGGGAAGGTTTCATGATCATGTGAGCATGACAGCTCAGCAAAATCACAAGCGATGCATGTTGGGCTTCTTCCCACTTTGCTACTTCAATGCAGTTAGAAAAGTAAAAAGGGGCGTCAAGGTCACTAGGGTATGGCAATTTACAGTATTTCATTGTCAAAAGCTTTGTTAATACAGTATTTCATTGTCAAAAGCTTTGTTAATACAATCATATTCAAAAGGTAAGTCAGATAAGATTTTTGAGGAGAAGACCTTTAACACCCCCATACATTCCATGCTTGGAGCAGTGCTAAAGTGCATTTTTAGCGCTTTTTCTGCCACTATGCAGTAGAATCTTGATGATACGAATTCGAAGGGAGCGCGTCAAATATTCGTATCATCCCGAATTCGTATGAACCAAAAACAAGCTAAAGCTGATCATGAGGGTGAACAAGAACTTTATTGGGGTCAAGTATATTTTGTTGAAAAAAGTCCATAATGTTCTTTTGAATTTTTATGCCTTCACCGCCTCTCAATAAAATGCCACGGTTTCCTCACTCATTCTGCTGGTGCTTAAAGTGCGTTCACACTTGGCCTCAAAGGGAGAGAAAGCTGCAAAACCTATTGGAAATTCGCTCGCTTCGCCGCTGAAGCAGCTGGAAAGACGCGCCGCGATGTCGGCGCGAAAAAATCTGTCACACATGAGGATTCAAGTGAAAATGCCAGAGCGGCTGAAAAACCATGTCCGCGCCCATAAAAAATGTTTACATTTATTTTGCCTACTGCTGCTGTCGTCACCGCTTGAGATTTCATTCCATTCTGCTCGTTTCCTGAGCATTAAAATTCGTACCGAGCTCTAGTTATGCATGCAAAACACTGAAAAGAAACAGTTTACACTTGTACAAATGTTGTACTGGGAGATACACCTTCAGAAATGATGCGAGCGATCGCGCCGGCAGCGGCGGCAACAGATTCAGATGGCAGTGCAAAAGCGAAACACGTTAGGTCAGACCGACTCTCTCCGGCTGCTGCATTTTCTACTTCCTCTGTTCACAGTGATTGTAATCTAAACAAGGCTCGCGATGAACACGTCCTTGTCAAGGTCATGCTGTGCGTATAGTTCGTGATTGCGCCTACGTGAGAAACCGCTAACGCCTTTGCTGCCATGTTGTATTTGCAGCTCCTTGTTTATATCACGCGGTTTGAGAGCCAGTGCAACCGGTGTAGCCAAAGCCGTGAAGCAAAAAGGTGATCTGCTATACCGTGGTGGAAAAATTGGTCTTGGGCCAATTTTTTCACGTCAGCCTTGTGGCGTGGTTTTTCGGCCACTTAGGCAGCAAAGCGAGAGAAATTCCTGTGAGTTTTGCCGCGTTTACTTCATTTGAGACACAGTGTGAAGGGGCCTTCCTCCCACAGACAAGCTGCAATGCGCCGTTTGTGTGCAGCGGTCAATCACGCGTTCGAATCATCCACGGTGGCTGGGGAAACCGTTCGTATGACACTGAATCACGGCATATTTTATATAATGTAGTCTATCTGAAACAACCTAAAAGTTTGTATCATCGTGAAATTCGCATCAACCTAATCGTATCATTGAAATTCTACTGTACATACTATTTGTCATAAAGCTCTCTTGCTTCCATGCAGTGCAACATTAAATGATAATTAGTATCAAGCATGACTTCTTGCACAAGAAATTGTGTGCAAGCTGGTGCAAATGTGTTGTTTCGTGACAGCTTACCACATCAAAACTCACCTCATTGCACCTTTATTTGATCTTTAGGATGATGACTTAACAGTGGGCCTCTTTGGTTTCCCCCTTTCTGACTATAACAATTTTTTTTTTCGGGTTCCTCGCCTGCTCTGTGACATACTTGCTGTGCATGTTTGTTTTTCTGTGAGTACGGTTTGTGTGACCCACAGAGCTGTGCTGTATGGTGCCAGATTAAAATCATCATGGCAGCTGTCAGGAAGTTTTGTAGTTGGCACACAGCAAAAAGAGACTATGAGTGCTCATCGCTATCATCATTGGGACTCGACAAATTGTAGCACAGGCACCTGAGGACTTCACCTTCGTTTGTCTTGATACCTGATGTTATTTTTAAAAAGCCTCTTCTGCCTATTGGGAAGGTTTGATTATAAGAGGCAGCATTGTTCGAGGCTCCTTTCTATCGCCTTCTTTTTTTTTTATGGGTAGTTTTTTTTTCCCTGTTTCTTGAAGTTTCCCGTGAACAGCATCATTCACTCATGCCTCCTGTTGGCATTTTGTCTCGAAAGCTGTGCACACATTTGTACACACACATTGTGGCACATTTCAGGTTCTTTTCTGTGGTGGCACCTGTTTTTATACCTTTCATGCTTATGCAGTGGTATTTGCTTTTAGTGTGGTTAGGAAAGATGGTTAATTGTGGTTGTAATTAACTAGTCATCATGTTGAACTGGATCTTTCAGCATTATACTGGGTGATTCCTCATAAAATCAAACAAACCATGGCTGGTCGATTCTTTAAATTTATCTCAAAATTTTATATAATGTTGCTTGATCAGTGGAAAGAAGAGATCCGCAATTGGTTTTGCCGGAAAAACTTTTTTAGCACAGTAAATCAATAATAGTGAAGAGGTGGAGTGCCACACTTACCTGCTCTGCTGTACTTCCCGACTTCGATGATGAATTATGTAAAATATATTAGAGTTACGCATCTCAAATTTGTTTAGCTTAATATATCAATGTTTTTCTTGCTTTCAGTTATTGTTCGCTTCTCTGTGTAGTGTACATATTTTTATTAAAAAACCTGAAAATCGACTCAAAAACATTTCTTTGCCTATTTTACAGGCCTTTATTTCATAAAGGGTGTACAATAGTGTGGCAAATATTCTGCATTAAGTTGTGAGCATGTTCATTTACCACATTCATACTATCAATCAGGTAATAGAAAAATGCTCAGAATATAACCAACCACTATACATAGCCTTCATAGATTACGAGAAGGCGTTTGATTCAGTAGAAATATCATCCATCATGCAGACACTGCGGAATCAGGGCGTCGATGAATTATATATAAACATCCTGGAAGAAATCTACAGGGTATCAACTGCTGCTATAGTGCTTCATAAAGAAAGCAACAGAATACCAATCAAAAAGGGTGTAAGGCAGGGGGACACAATCTCCCCAATGCTATTTACCGCGTGCTTACAGGAGGTTTTCAGAAGCCTAGAATGGGAACAGTTAGGGATAAGAGTTAATGGAGAGTACCTTAGTAACCTGCGCTTCGCCGATGACATTGCATTGCTGAGTAACTCAGGGGACAAATTGCAACTCATGATTACGGAGTTAGACAAGGAGAGCAGAAAGGTAGGTCTTAAAATGAATCTGCAGAAAACGAAAGTAATGTACAACAATCTCGGAAGAGAGCAGCGCTTCGAGATAGGTAATAGTGCACTTCAAGTTGTAAGAGACTATGTCTACTTAGGGCAGGTAATAACCGCGGAGCCGTACCACGAGATTGAAGTAACTAGAAGAATAAGAATGGGGTACAGCACATTTGGCAAGCTCTCTCAAATTATGACAGGTAGATTGCCACTATCCCTCAAGAGAAAGGTATATAACAGCTGTATCTTGCCGGTACTTAGCTACGGAGCAGAAACCTGGAGACTTACAAAGAGGGTTCAGCTTAAATTGAGGACGACGCAGCGAGCAATGGAAAGAAAAATGGTAGGTGTAACCTTAAGAGACAAGAAGAGAGCAGAGTGGATTAGGGAACAAACGGAGGTTAAGGATATCATAGCTGAAATCAAGAAGAAGAAATGGACATGGACCGGGCATGTAGCGCGTAGACAGGATAACCGCTGGTCGTTAAGGGTAACTAACTGGATTCCCAGAGAAGAAAAGCGGGTTTGGGGGAGACAGAAGGTTAGGTGAGCAGATGAGATTAAGAAGTTTGCGGGTATAAATTGGCAGCAGCAAGCACAGAACCGGGTTACCGTAACTGGCGGAACATGGGAGAGGCCTTTGTCCTGCAGTGGACGTAGTCAGGCTGATGATGATGATGATGATGATGATGTTTATTTATAAAACTGCCAAGGCTTATATTAATAATACTTTTCAATAAAAAAATACAATTGCATTAACTTCAAGAAAAGAGCATACAATGGAAACTTCTGATGACGATTAAAAAAACATTTTTTATATTTCTCAAACTTTCCACACTTATTCTCTAGCACATCAGCTTTCACAGTCAATAAAAAGATGTTGCATAATTATGTTTCCCTTGTAGTTACGGCCCGTTTAAAAAGACCCTTGCGCAGGGATAGGCAATTGTAGATCAGGCCCACTATGTGTGTAGAGTGCATGCCTATACTTCAGTTCTTTAAAACAAGTGACATCATGCTACATGGTTTGATTTATATGGTCTACTCGTGGAAAGCTTAGCGCTTTAACACATGCGGGTGACATTAAAAAAGAGGTCACTAATATATTGCTATGGCATGGAATACCTTCTTTTATCAGAAGTTACTCAATATAAATACTTATGCCTCCACATAGCAAGTGATCTCTTGTGGTCAAAACACCTTGAAAGAGTGCTAGGAAATTGCAGGCGTAAGTTGCTCTTCCTAAGGCGTGTAATAAAATCGTCCACACCAGCAGTACGTTTGTTGGCATATAAAACACTCGTCCGTCCTGTTTTAGAATACGCCGCCATTATATGGGACCCGTTCACTAAAACCGACATAGCAAAATTAGAAAGCTTACAGAAAAAAGCTGTTATATTCATCTATAATACGTATGGCCGCACTTCAGTCACTAACCTCATATCTCAAAGTGG